TCGACCGATGACAACAGCAGCGACCGCGACCGCGGTCACTGTACCCGCTCCTGCCACATCTGATCTCACTTCAGTCACAAAATCTCGAACAGAAATGAATCGCCGTGATCTGGATCCCGCGCTGTATGATAATCAGTACAATTATTTGAATTCGAACTATGCACAGGGAAACAATGTGTACACTCAATCTACAGATGCTAACAAAATGTCCAACGAGGCCGCGGAGACGCACTCGGATTTGTCACTTGCATTAGCCGTGCGGTGTGGTTCTACAAACACAATGAACCCAAACTCCTCTTCCCTCTATCAAACCCTACTACAAAATGATGCGGTTTTTCAGAATAATTCGAATAATTTAGAGGCGACAACTTTGACCGGATCTATTAATTCCTCCTCCTGTGAAGTGTCCTCACAACTTGCATCGATATTTCCCAAATCCAGCGCGGACGGTCTGAGTGGCTCGCGTAATTCGGATGTGCTCGGTCCATCGATTAGTCATCATTCGTCCTCAACAGATTCCGATCTGGATGCAAACAGCCTGGTGCTCAAACCTGGACCACCCAGTCCGACATATTCTGCCTCGACCGGGATGACTCAGTCCACCAAACCACAGGCGTCTGCATTCGAAGCATCCCTTACACGATTCTTGTGTTCGGTTGATAACGAACAGTTTTCCGGAAAACAATCACCAAACTCATTTGAAACACCCGGAGAGAATGGAGGTAATGGAACCAATATGGTCACTACGGCTGCTGCCGCACTGGCCGCTAGTCGATGGTTTCCACACGCAGCCGCCGCGGCCGTGGCTGTGAATTATCTGGACTGGGGTGTCAATTCCACTCCGGTGAACGAGATTTCACGAACTGGCAGTGTGAATCATTCAAATAGGGATATGGTAAATCTGATGAAATCAGAGGACGCGGAAGATAATCAACCCGGTCTGGTCGAACCGGATCGGTACGTGTCAGATCACACGGGTACACTTCATCCCAATCCGGATGGAAATGGGAACTCGATTGAATCCGGTCATCTGGGTCTAGGTTCCGGATCCGCCACATCCTCCTCCTCGTCCTCCTCATTCTTCTATCCGGTTCAACGTTGCGCAAACACATCACAATCTCCATTGGCCAGTTCCCCGTCGCTAACCCCACTGAACATTCCGCATCCGTTGAATGGCTGTGGTTCACTCCAAGTCACATGACCATCTCCCAGGTTCTGCCTTCGCTTTCACCACTCACTCACTCACTCACTCACTCACTCACTCACTCACTCACTCACTCACTCATTGTCCATACATTTGCACAAGAAGGCTGTAATTCGCTTCCGACCTGCACAACCGCAGTCCGATCTCCCTACTACTATTCTTGTGGCAAATGTTGACCACCCTCTGAGCTTCTCCTCTCCCATTGTGCCGTCTGTTGTGCACTCATTCAAACAGAACTAAACGCTACCAAATAACTGATCGAAAGAACAAATTGTATTTTACTTTTTGCAACCCAAAGAACAAACCCCGGAACGAACGTTGTTATTGTTGTTGGTTGTACAAAATAATAATCGTATACCATATATATATTTCACTCAAAGTTTTCACGCCAAAATGATTTGATTAGATGACACCTTGTATCACACGCTTCCTTGACCGATCATATTCATACACACACACAAATGTCAGTGAACTGACTGATTCACAAATATCATCTAATTTTTATCTTTCAATCCCCTTGTCCTCGTCCATATGCTGCTCTTTCTGCTCGCCCCACCTCGCCCCACCTCGCCTCACCTCCTCTGTTCTCCGTTTGTCCCTCGGCCCTCGCCTTTTTGGGCGGACACCCAGGCGGAACGTTCAGTTCAGATTTACCAGACCAGATGTATACCCATCCACTTTCTCACATTGTCTTTTATTTGGCACCAATTAGAGCCATTTGTGAACAGAATCAATTCGTCTCCTCCTGGTTGTTCCTCGTGGTCACGGATGTGTGCGGTCGGTCGGTCGGTCGGTTGACTATGGCCAGTGTTAGGAACGGCACATACGCAAGCATTGACTCTGCTGATTTGGAACAGAAACTCATAGCCACTTCGAAAGCTTGTAAAAATCGCCTTTCGATTTGCAGGCATCCAGAAAGGCGACCATCAAGATACGGGTTATTCTGAACTCGGTCGCTTCCGTTTGAACAGTATTTCTCGCGCAGAGAGCGGGTTGGAGTTCGTTCGATTTTTATCGCGCTAACGCACAGGAATTCGAGGGTCTCAACACTAACCAGGGAGGAAGATAAGTTGGGAAGAGCGTTCCGCCGCGAAAAAATCTCGCGTCAAACTGAAAGGAACCGCGAGTTACGTGTTGATCGATTGACAAACATGTTGCGATTACAGCAGAAAAAAGCCGCACAAAATTCCAAGGACATTTTACTGAATTCTATTGTGTTCACAATTAAAATGGATAGGTTGCAAGCCAATCGGTTCCTACAATCTACTGCCAACGAGGTTCAGTTTTATGTAAAAAAGTGTGGAAAATGCTTTGCATTTGAGAGACCTTGTGGCTTTGGGTACGAACTGTTAGTGAGGATTCCTATGCCCAAAAATAAAACAAAACTAAGTGAACCAAAAGGAGGGAGCTAAACTCTTCGCGTTGGATCTACACCTTTTTTCATTCAGCTTTAGCCAAAACCTGAAATGCTTTAGCCAAGACCCGTAGTCGTTTAGCCTCGATGAAAAAAACTTCAGTCAC